CCTCACTGTTCCTTCGTGACCGGGGAGTTCTGTCTGTCCTTGCCCATGTCCACCATAGGTCAGCCTGATTTAGACAAGAGGGGAAAAAAGATCAGTGTTTGGTTGCCTTTGACCATCTCATTGATACTCATCTTGCACCAGCTGTGGCCAGGAAAGCCATTTTTTCCAAGGGTTTTTGTTCTCAGGAAAAGAGGCATGGTGGGGGAGGATTTTTATCTGGTGCTTATGTTATGCTTTACGTGTTGTCTCTTTTATTCCTCAGGGCAGCCCAGTGAGGTAGAAGTTATCATTCGCATTTCACAGGGGAGAAGGGAGAGGTTTGGGGAGGGGAGATGGCTTGCCCCAGGCTACACCCCCGCAAGCAGAGGAGGAAGAGGGTTCGAACCCAGATTGTACCACAAGGCCGGGGCAACCCTGAGAATTCTAGGGGATGTGCATGGAGTCGGGACACCTGGATTCTAACCCACCTGCTTCAACCCTGGACAGGTCATTGAACCCCTCGAGGCCTCTGCTTCTTGCAGTTGTAAAATGTGTATAATTTCAACTGTCCTCCCTACCCCCACCCCCTAAGCCTTGAGAATCAAGGTCAATAACAATTGTGGAAAAACCCTAGACCATAAAGTGCCCTAGTGAGGTTTGGGATTAGTTTTGCTCCTGTAATCAGAGTAAAGGGCATGGCTCAGACAACGGCTTTCTCCTGAGTTATGAAGCTTTCTTACCCCGGTGTGAGCTTTGTGCCGAGGGTGGTGTTGAAGATATTTCCTTCTCCAAAGTTCTGTGATGGTAAGATGTAGATGAGGTGAGAGGAGCTGGCTGGGAGGACTTCAGATCTGGGAGATTTTTTTGACTTGAATCTTATTCTAGACACCTTTATCTCTCTCTATCTCTGAGTGTTTCCTAATTAGGAATGTTTTGTATTTTAAGTTGTGTGTTAATAGAATATGCAACTGGTATTGGAGTAACACACAATGGTTACTCCAATGGTGGCTGAATTTGTCTTGCTTTTAATAATCCATTCATCACAGGGTGGGTTGATGTCCCTGTGTTCCATGCACTGTGAATAGAAATGTAGGAAAATAAAGATTGAAGAAGCACAATTGCTTCTCCTAAGGAGCTCGAAGACCAAGGTGATCAGACAGTGAACAGTTACAGCCCAGTGAGATAAGGCCAGGCAGGTGGTGAGTGGCCACCTACAGGATGTGATTAACACCAGCATTGAGGTGTGAGCTCAAGGTTGGAGCACCCAGGGCGCAGGCCTTGGACCTTTCTCTTCCGACTGCCTTTTCCATATCTCCGTGTGGATGTCTAGTCCAGCTTCAGTGTCTGGTACTGAGGGTGGACTTTCTGCTCCAGACCTGCTCTCCCCAGTCTTGCCCAGCTCGGCACATGGCAGCTCTGACTTCCAGGTGCTCAGCCTCCACACCTGAAACCACCCTTTGTTCTTCTCTTTCTCTCACATCCCACGTTCATATTATACAATCAACACATCCTGGTGGCTGTGCCCTCTGCTTCTCCTCCACATCCTCCCTGGACCAGGTCACGGCCAGCATGCCTGTGTCTGTGGCAGCACCCGCTCTTTGCTGGCCTCTCTGCTTCTGCCCCGACACCCCCCACCACCACATGTGGTCTGTTCTCAACACATCAAAGTAGCCTTGCAAACCTAGGTCATCTCATGGGATTCTTCTGCTCAGAACCCCCGCATAGTCCTCCAAGTAAAACATGGGATCCTTATGGTGGCCTTCGAGGCCTGATATGACCCTGTGCCCTGCCAGCTCCTAGGCCTCACCTCCTCTCACTCGCCACTCTCTCACCCTGCTCCTGTCACACTGGCACCAGCTGGGTCCTCTGCTGGCCTCCCATCACATGTCTGCAGGGCTCACTCTTTTCTTCTTTAGATTCCCTGCTGAGGCCTTTGCTGACCACCCTGCTCCCACCTTCCCTGCAGCCCCAATGCCCCATCCGACACACAAACCATATATTGTGTTTGTCCCGTGCACGCCACCTGAGGACAGGACAGCTGTATCTCCAGCTCCTAGGAGAGCACCTGGCACAGAATAAGTGCCCACTGATTATTTGTTAAGTGAGTGAAGACGGGGTAAGCATAAAGGAGAGGGGACATACATACACAGGGCTGCGGAGGCATGAGAGAACTGTCAGCCAGGAGCGCTGGGTGCAGACAAAGAAGAGAGCTGAGAGCACAGGTACTTGGTGTCAGGTTTTGGAGGGTCTGGGAAGGATTTCAGGCCAGAGAGTGACAGAATCTGGTTTGCATGGCATGCAGGAGTCTGGAGAAGTTTGGAGCAGGTGGGGCCAGGGTGCAGTTGTGCATCTGGGGAAAGCAGGCCAGCATGGTCAGCCAGGAGGAGGGCCCAGGACCTGCACAGAAGCCTCTGGAAAGTAGACCTATCCTCTCAGTAACTGTGCTCCTTCTCTGCCTCCTCCACGCCCATCATCTGCACCTGTCACCCTCACATCTTAAATCTTCTTTTCTCCCAAAGCCACAGCAAGGACACCTTCCCTGCCTCAGTCATTGCCATCCTGCCCTGTGGACCGATGGGCACCACCCCTGGGGACTCTCTCCCCCGGCTGCACTGCCCTTGCTTCTGTGCTGTTTGTCCTTCTATTCCTTACTCAGAGTAGGGGCTTCCAAAGTTCTGGCTATGACTCCTTCCTCTTCCTGCCTTCCGCAGGCATCATGCTGTCTCCGCAGCTTCCCCATCTGTCTCCCAGGCCAGTTGCTTCCCAGCGCCCAGCCCTGGGCTCCTCCAAGCCACTGGGCCATACTTCCAGCTCCCTCTCAGCAGCGCAAACTCAGACTTACGTGCTCCCACCTCCGCTCCCGCCCCCGCCTGCTCCGACTCCGCTCTCGATGTCAGTCTCTGTCAAGGGGCACCCTGTCCTTTCTGTCACCCAGGCTTGGAGCAGTGTCAGAGTTGCCCTGGCGCCACCCTCCGCCACATTCTCCCCAGCCCCAGCCACATCCGCTCCCTTTCCATTCTCAGCCACCAGCCAGATCAGACCCGTGTCACCTCAAGTATGGACCACCGAGTGGTCCCTCCTGGACGCTGGCTCAGCCAAGCCTCCCAGAGCACCAGCGTGATCTCTCCCACTGTGGAAGTTTGTGACAAATCATCAATGTTGCTTCCTTGCTCAGAAGTCTTCAACAGCTCTTCATTTCTCAAAAGGTCCACACTTCCCACTCTCATTAAATTCCTCCATAACCTTGTCGCTATGTGTTTTCCCACCCTTTATTACCAATAAAATCTCCAAACTGCAAAGCAAACCTGGAACCTCATAGATATTCTCCTGTCTCCTGGTCACTGAGAATCTTGCTCACTCCCCCTTTAAAACTCCTGACCTTCAAAAGCCTAGATTACAAGCCACCTCCCCTGAGAAGTCTGCTCTGATTGCCAGACCAGATGTGCTTCCTCCCTTTTCTACAGCCACACTGTGCCCTGCACCTCTCCCATACCCAGGCTTGTCCTGTTTGAGTTGATCACCTCCAGGGAACGTGTGCTGGCCGAAGGCTTGCACGGGCTCTTTTCCAGGGTTTACCAGTTCTGGGCCCACTATGTGAGCTCGACAGATGGGAATTTTCTTCTTTTCCTCATCTTTCCTCATAGTGGAATTTTTACTTTATTTATCTGTGACTCAATCCCCAATAATTTTTATTGCATGTAGAAAGGGCTCTGGAGATATTTCTTTAATTAGTAATAAATTAATTTCCTAAGCGGAACCCTCATTTCTCTCCTTTTGTACCTTGCGTGTTCTCATGCCCGCAGTGCCCCCTGGTGGAGAAGCGCTCCTGGGCCAGGCAGTGGCCACGCTGCTCCGCGGGTGCCAGCGTTCTGGACTGTTGGGGGACGTGCAGCTCGGGGACTCGTTTTATGATTAAAACAGAACAAAACCCCTGCAATACATGTGTCAAGAATAGTACGAACTGTCAGAATTAAAATTCTGAGTTTGGAAGTCTGTCCCTCCGCTCAGACCAACAGAGGACAGGGCAGGTGCCTTTCACGGCCAGGTCTGTGCAGTCCTCAGCCGCGCCTCTCCGAGGCCGCGAAGGTCGGGCCCGCAGTCGGACGCCCTGGTCTCAGTGCGCTTCCTTCCAGACACTCCCTCTGCCTGGAACCCCTGCAGCCTCCTTCTGTGCCTGTCAAATCCCTGCCCTCTGAGACTCCGTTCCCGTCCCATCTGCTCCACGAAACTTGCGCGGACCGCGGAGCCTGAGAAGTTCCTCTGCGCTCCCGCGCGGTGGCCGCCGCACTGTTGGAGCGACACACAGCGCGCGGCCTTCTCGGCTGTTTCTCGAATTTTCTGGAATTTACAAAAGAATATTGATCTTTAGTTTTCATGTATATGTGTCCTATCTCCCCTGCTGGATTTGAGGGGCTCGGTCCTGATTCGATTTGTCCTGAAAAGTCGGCTCCCCTGCCCGGCGCACGGGCGCGGGCCTGCAGACCTGCCTAGCTGCAGCCTACTCAGCGCTCCCGGAGCCGTGGGCTGTTGCGCCTGCTCTCGACTTGCTCGTACCTGCTGGCGGCGCCCAAGACACACATACGTAGGCACTTAGGATCGCAGTCCATGTGACCGTAGGCCTAAGGCGCAGAGGGGTTGGTACAACCTAAAGTAACAAATAACACCTTCTCTCCATACCCCTGCTCCCTTTCACCTGTCCGCCTGGCCCCCCCACCCCCCAGGAGTCAAGGGGATCAGTCCGGGAGGCTTCCTGAAGGAGGTGACATTCCATGATGGTTTTATAAGTGAAAGGAAAGAGAACATTTCTTCCCAAGTGAATGAACTGACATACCACAGGCAGAGAGAGAGGGAACATGTGTGAAGGTGTGTGAGTGTTGGTTGGCTTCCCAGGACTGAGGTAAAAGTCTGCCGTCTTTGATGGAAGGGATGCCATTAAGTGTGAGACTCCCAGGAAGTCCTACACACGTGTGTCAGAGCAAGGTCCCAGAGGTGTTCATAGAAATTTCTGCTTTGTCCCTTAGGATTCTTGGGATGAGATTCTTATTGGTGATGCGGAACTGAAAAGGGTGATGGCTTGTTCCAGGTAAGGCTCTTTCCTGTCCCTTCTGGGATGCAGAGAGGTCACTTTGCTTTGTCTCCTGTTTGATGCTGCATGTGTGTGTGTGTGTGTGTGTGTGTATGTGTGTGTCCAGGTGCATGTTAACCACGGTGGACCCGGACACTGGCATCATGAGCAGGAAGGAGCCGCTGGAAACGCTGAAGAGGTAGGACTGGGTAGACAGGGTCGCATCCCTGGGTTTAGGTGCCTGGGACAGAAGCAATATTTGTTGCTGAATATTTGTGAGAGGAAGCAGTGAAAACACCACACACATATAGTCTTGAAGCTAAAGAGGGTCCAATGACTAGGTAATTTGGGAAATGTTCCTGGGTGCTTTGGTTACCAGTATGTCTTGCACAGATAATTTTATTTTTCATTTAGAATTCGTAATTCAAATAACACCAATTAAAAAACACATTGCTTAGTTACATTGGCAAATTTTATTATTGACTGAGTATTTCTAATTTATTAGGTGTTGTAATGGCATTGTGGTTATATAAGAAATGCCAATATATCTTAGAGAAGCTCGTTGTATGTACGTGGGAGTGAGGAGACATGGCATCTGGGGTCTGCTGTATATGATGGTAGCAAAAAAAAAGGATAGACGAGCACATAAAAAGGTGTCAAGGTAAAATTTGGGGAATAATTATATTGAGGTTTATTGCACTATTCTTTCTACTTTTATGTTTACTTTAAAATTCCATTAAGAAAACATCTTAAGTGAAGACAAAATTACAGAGAATAATTTTAAATTGTATATAAAGATGGTCAAGATAACATTAATTTTACAAAGCTGATTACAAAATAGCATGTATAGTATTTATCTTTTGGTTTTGGTTTATTTGATTTTACTTTTACAAATTATATAAATGCACATGAGTAAAGCCTATAAGGCCGGCAAGATGGCTCGCATCTGTATTGCTAGCACTCTGGGAGGTGGAAGGATTGCTTGAGGCCAGGAGTTCAAGACCAGCCTGAGCAAGAGCAAGACCCTCATCTCTACAAAAAATAGAAAAATTAGCCAGGTATGGTGGCATGCACCTGTAATCCTGGCTACTCCAGAGGCTGAGGCAAGAGAATCACTTGAGCCCAGGAATTTGAGGTTGCAGAGAGCTATGATGATGCCACTGCACTCTAGCCTGACAGAGCGAGACCCTGTCTCAAAAAAAAAAAAAAAAGAAGCTGAAAGGATATAAAACAAAATGTTAATGGAGGCACTTTTTGGGGATAGTAATAGAATTACAGAAAACATTATTCTTATATGTAGTCTCTAAACTTTCTATAATTAACTTGCATTACTTTTGCTAAAACAATAACAATAGTAACAATTTAGGATCCAAGCATGTCATTGCTGTTATTTGCCCAATCTGGGACCCAGGAAATCCCCAAAACTCTGAACATGAACTTATGGTACTTATCTTAATTGGTCCCTTTGGCATTGAATGCAGGGTCACAGGTGGAATGTCAGGTCTCAGATCTGTGGCCTCTGAGACCCTTGGCTTTGGTCCTCCCCAGGTATCACTCTTAGAGGGGAGGGTGGGGGAAGGCAGGGACTGCTCTGGGCAAAGCCCCAGAAGTTTGGAGAAGGAAGGCAGTTGAGGTGTGGCCCTCTTGTGTCGAAGCCATCATGAAAGAACACATTACGGAGAGGTTATGCTGGGGTTTTGTGTGGCAGGACTCATTCCTGGAACGTGAGGCTTGCTACCTCCCTCCTTCCACCTCTCACCATGCTGGTGGCCTTTTTTGGGTCGACAATTCAGTCTTCTTTGAGGTGCACCAGTCCCTCCCTGCCAATGCTGCTGTCCCAGAGCCACTGTCTGGCCCCCTCTTGAGGCAGGCCGAAGCCGTGGGCTGGAGCGCTGTTGTCCCACCAGCACATGCCCCCCAAGCACGAGGCCCCAGGCCTGACCTCCCCGGCCAGCACTGGTCATCTATGGAAATGGGTCCCAGTGTGAGGGCCAGGTTACAGCAAGGGGGACAGATGGCCATCAAGGGCCTATGCCACCTGGCAGAGAGAGAGAGAGTGGTCAAGAGAGAAGTCAAATGGGGTGGGACTCGAGGAATCCTCCAGGTGCGCAGCAAATGCTGCACTGTACCCAGGTCCTCCAGCACTGTGTGTGACCTGCAGGAGCATTCAAAGAGGGACTATAGACCAACCTAAGGCATTTTTTTTTTTTTTTTGAGGCAGAATCTCACTCTGTTGTCCGGGCTACGGTGCTGTGGCATCTGCCTAGCTCATAGCAACCTCAGACTCCTGGGATCAAGCGATCCTCCCGCCTCAGCCTCCTGAGTAGCTGGGACTATGGGAGCTCACCACCATGGCCGGCTAATTTTTCTATTTTTAGTTGAGATGGGGTCTCACTCTTGCTCAGGCTGGTCTTGAACTTCTGACAGCAAGTGATCCTCCCACCTCGAATCCTGTCATTTTGAGGGGATGTTTCTCAACATTCCAAATATTAAATGACTTTTCTGTAAATATGGAACATTTAAGATTGGTACATTTCATTTCATGGAAATTTTACCTAAAAAAAAGTAAATAACATTTTATGCTAGGTAATGATATGCAAACTGAACTGTTTAGAGGTGAAGTATACTGAGGTCTGCAACTTATTTGGAAATGCAAAAAAATTGATGGATTGATGGATGGATAAATATGTAGTAAAGGAAATATAGTAACATGTTAAGTAGAAAATCGAAGCAGTTGGTTAATGGATGTTTGCTATAAAGTTCTTTAACTTCTTTTCCTGCTTGAGAATTTTCATAATAAAATGTTGGGTAAAATGTCACTATGTGACAGAATGTTCGTGAGAGGAGCAGGGTTTTGAGAAACAGCAACGAGAGACCATAACTATCCTTTGAAATGCGCTCACTCACCATCAGAAGGAACCAGAATTCAGTCTTCCTGTTTTCCATGGCCACAGAGGAGCCACAGGGAGGAGGAAGCAGGGTGGGCCAGTGGCAAGAGTCCGGCATCAGAGTCCAGAGACCTGGCTGTGGGCACAACACACCAGCTATCGTGGTCACCAGCAAGTCCCTCTGTCCCCACTGTCCCCGACTCAGGCCCTGGGTGTTCTTCCTTATAACATAGGGGACTCAGTGCAGAGCTGGATGACTCTGTGTGCAAGCCAGCCGAGTAATTTGGGAATTGGCTGTCATCCTTTTTTATCCACCTTTTTCTCCCTCGCCCCTCAATGTGTTGCTTGGCGCTGGACGTCCTTTCCCTCTGGATGCAGAGAGTTTCTGTACTTGCAGAGATGGCCCCTCAAAGGGCTCTGTTTGCTTGGGCTGGTTCTCTGAGTCTTCAGTGCCGCCTCCCTCCACTGGCAGCCTGTGTTTATAGAAGGATGATGATTGACCCCAAACACAGAGCGAGGGCGGGAAGGCCGGGCGCCAGGAGCCAGCACACCTTCCTGCTCTTCTGCAGGCTTTGTGGAGCCCAACAATCTGGCCCTAATCGCTCCAGTACCCCAGGAGACAGTGCAGCCAGGGGAGGTGTCTTCTCCTATCTCTTAGTGAGATTTAAATTGCCAGGGATGTGTAATTTATGTTCTCTCTGGGACAGGTGGTCATAAATCGAGGAGTGAAAGGCCTGGCCATATCACATAAATCACGGGAAGGGAAGCAAATGGTGGTGTCAACAACAGCCTCTCTGCTGTTGGGTGAGGCTCAGAGCCACACTGCTTCTGTCTCTGTGCGCTCGTGGTGCCCAAGCTGGTGCTGCAAGTGCTCGGCAGGAGGCCTCTGCCCACCCAGCCCTACCTACTGTGTCAGTAGCCCCCAGGCACAACCTGGGCTGGCAAAGCGGGGCGAGGAAAAGAAATGCAGCTACAGGACAGAGGCACAGGGGAGCCTGTGTCTGCAGAACACTCACAGTGGTTGGCACAGTGGAGGCCTGTGTGCTAAGAGGAAAATATGAAGATGCAATTACTGTTTTCTTTCTTAAGGGAAGGTGAGTACACACACTGAACCCATGGCCTGAGGGGTGGCTGGAGTCAGTCATTGTTGCCTCCACAACATCTTGCCCCTAGTAGAAAGAAGACAGCACAATTACTCACGGATACTCAGAAGCAGGTTGCAGGATGCAAGGACACTGCGACAGGAACGGCGTTTGCCACCAGCCACTTGTGTTAGGCTGTGCTGTGGGAGGTAAAGGCAGAAAGGATATAGCAGCGGTGACTCTGTGGGAGAGTCAGAGAGGCAGAGGGAGACAGACCTTCTGCCCTAGTCTGGCTCCGACATTGGGAAGTCACTTAGGTTCTTGCTGTCTCAGTTTCTTTGTTTGTATAAAGAACTTATAATACCTCTTCCGGTAGACTAGAATAAGGCAATAAAAATATTCTTATAGACGATAAAATACTGCACTCAATGACCATGTAAGCCAGGGTTATTGATGGTCTCGGTTTGTAAACTTGCCGCATTCTGAGGGAGGTGCCTGAGGATGCTCTCCGTTCTGTGAAGCTGTTTTAAGTGAAACCCAACCCAAGCCCGTGCAGCGGCCGCGTCTGGGGAGCTTTCGCAATGCTCTTGCATTTGTGACCTGGCCATCGAGAGAGTAGGCTGCGAGGTCTCCGGAGTGGCCTGTGCCCTGGGCCACTTGTCTCCCCACGAGCTCCAGCACTGCAGCCTGAGCAGTGACTACACTGGCCAGTAACTGAGTAAACCAGGCAGTGTAAACAATGAGCAGCGCGCTGTGGTGCCCAGCGCTTTGCAAAGCGTCTCCTTTCACACCGCACCCTGTAGGTGTGCAGACCTCTGTTTAAGCCAAATAAAGTATCTTGGGCCTCCTGCTCGTTAGAGTAGTAGTACGTTTTGTGTTCATTAAAAGAGAAAATGCACTAAGAAAGGAGATTTTAAATGATTTTGTGATTTATTAATCCCTACTGGAATATATATAGGAAAAAATCCTGGAAGACCCATGTACGAGGCAACACTGTGATTTCAGTCTGTTGAGCGACGCTTGTGTGCATGGATTCATAGACCGCTTGCAATGCCTCCTCGGCACCGCTAGGCGTCGCCGACGACCGCGTTTCGTCCTCCCGCAGCCCGGCGGGGCGGGGCGCGGCGGCCAGAGGTGCCGCAGGAGGTGGGGAGCCCTGGCCTGCTGGGCCGGCTGGGAACCACTTCTCCACCCCCATAGCGCGTCCCATCTCTGTTCTTAGACAGCGGAGTGGACGGCCACCTGTGAGCCAGGTGACCACACCTACACTTTTACAAACCGCCCCCTCGCCCCACCCCGTGCCCTTTGAGCGGCGGCTCCTCCCGGCTCCCCACTCCTCAGCGACCTGGTGAGGGCGTGTGTGTTTGGTGGGGAGGGTCAGGTAACACCCGTGAGTGGCTGAACCTTCGTGGAGGTGAGTAAGTTATTTAGACCCCTTAATTCCCCTCAGGCCTGTGGGTGTGCTTGGGAGATAGCTAGATGGCCAGGGATTGCATCCTCACTAGGAGTGGGCCAGACCTGCGCCCTGGCCCCAGAGGGACCACCTAGATCTGTGACCTTGGGCAAGTTACTTACTCCTCCGAGACTCACTTGTAAAATGAAGATACACATTCCCACAGAGGCAGATTATAAGGTCTAAAAGAGATCATATGTGTGAAGGTCTTTATAAACTGTCCGTGTGTGGTGTACAGAACTCCATTCTCAATTTCTCCCTGAGATAATCAGAGCCCGGGACCCTAGACCACAGAGCTCAGCCACAACAAGAAATCCCAAGTGACAGAAATGACTGCGCTGGCCCTCATCCTGAAGAGGCCACCCCTGGACGGACACAGGTCCCAGAATGTCCTGGGAGGCATGCTGACAGAGGAGAGGTGGGCTAGGAGAGATGCCTGGGTTCGTTGGGCCCAAGGTCATTGCAGAAACCTGATTACAGAGAGAGGGAACAACACTCTTGGTAAGGCAGGGCAGCCTGGATCAGCAGCTTACATTTTTCATTCATCCTCTTATTCATTCATTTGTTCGACCAACATTTTCTAGAGTGGTTACATTATACCAGGCACTGTACCAGGCCATGGGGATACAGCAGAGAACAGAATGGACATGGCGCTGCCACGGTGGTGTTTAAAGTCTGAGCGAGGGGCCGAGGGTCTCCAGAAGGAGGTTCTAGATTTGACTCTCTCCATTTTCTCATTAGCCATTTCTGATTTGAAGGACAAAATTAGAACCAAGTTGTTACAATAGATTTTTTAAAGCAAGACAGAATGAAATTAATGTTTTCTATAAAAATATTTTAAATATAAAAGTGATGTAAAATTGGGGTTAGCCTAAACAAAAAATGGAAAGAAATCTTTCTCCCAGTGGAGGGCCGAGTGGGGCAATCTTGCCATGTTTTCCCCACACATCTGCTCATGTGCCTTCTTCCTGAAGCTTCTTGAGTTTTCTGCCTGACAAAGATATTTGTACTTCTCTGTTACACATTACATCACATTTTACCCCCCAGCACCTTTATCTGTTCAGCAATTATGGGTCATGGGTGACATCGAGGCCTAGTGTTGGGTGTGAGCAGTACAAGGGCGTTGGACACAGTTCCTGTTCTCCAGGGACTTTGTCTTGTAGAACAGATGGACTTGTGCCTGACATTACAGAAAAAGACATGTGAGTGTTGGGGGTGCAAAGAGAATTGAGGAGGGGAAATTACTCCTGGCTGGGGGGTCCTGGGTTTCATTCCTAGGAGCTGGGCTTTGAGGCAGGTAGAATTCTAATGCATGGGACCTGGTGGAGGGGCATCCTGCAGGAATCATGGAGGACTCACAGAGCCAGTAGAATGCAAAGCAAGGTGGAATCCAGCAAGTGCTGCACATAAGGAGCAGACGGCAACAGGTTTAAAAATGCCAGTTGAGGTCAGGTGGAGAGCCCTTCATACCAGGCTGAAGAGCTGGAATGTTATTCTTTAGGAACTAGGGAGCCATGGAAGGTTTCTGAGCCTAGGACTGATAGGCCCAAAGCACAATTAACACAGTAATATAGTGTAGTGTCAACAGTGAGTTGAAAGGGGAGTGGAGAGTGAGGAAGAGAAGCAGGTTAAGAAGTTATTACAATAGTCTGCTCATGCTGGAAGCAAGGTTGCGATGGTGGGAACGAGGAAAAGCAAGCAGAGTCAAATGATGCTGTGCAGGAAGAACTTCAGGACTGAGAAACTGGACAAACTATGGAAAGTAAGGACAATCATATAAAGGACGACTCTGGGTTCAAGTGACAGACGTGGAAGAGTCAGGAAGAAAGATTCTTCGGGAAAAGGGAGATGATAAAGTATGTCTAGGCATACTGAGTACCTAATCTCTCAGTGCGGAAAAAGGGAACATTAACATAGAGAAAGGATGTGGGAATATGGCCTCTGGTTACTCCTGAAGTTGTGCACTGGGCAGGCTGCCCAGCCCCAGGAGGCACTGTTCTGCTAGACTTTGGTGGGAAAGGTGCCCCCTGGAGCTGTGCAGCATGGCAGTCCTGGGTGGTATGGGTACTTACCTGGGCGGAGAAGAAGCCATGTGCTAGCTGAGCTCCTGCTTCTGTTGGGCTGTACTCATCATGGTCTTTCTCCTATTGCAGTTATCGCCAGTGTGACCCTTCCGAACAAAAGTTGTATGGAAAATCACCTCTCTTTGGACAGTATTTTGTTCTGGAAAACCCAGGGACAATCAATGTGGGAGACCCCGTGTACCTGCTGGGCCACTAATGGGAACCATATGTCCTGGAATATCAGATACCTTTAAAAAAAGTCCTCAAAAATGACAAAACTTGAAGCAGTGTTTCAACTGACACCTCAGCATTTTCTTTAGATTTACGATTTTCAAGTTTTTCCTCTTTGGGATTTCCTTGTGTCTTGATGCTGCCAGTGTCCCTGTGCACAGGGCAAAATAATATAGTTTTGATAACTTGGTGGGGCTTCATAGGATTCTGAAAACTCCCTGTTTAATTATGATGATGGAATCATTGTTTCTCCATTTATCTATCAAGAGTACCAACCTCTGTCATCTCACTTTAGGAAAAGAGAAGAGAAAGAGGAAGAGTAGGTGAGCCAGAAGAATGTTCGGAAATGTTTTATCACTTCTATCATGGGGCATGCAGTGAAATTTAAATTGCTCCCCAAATAAGACTGGAACACAACCTCACTTTTCTCCTCAATCCTCAGGCTAGTTTTCAAAGTACATACAAAGCCTGACTTGCAGGAAGCACTTCAGATATTAATTTTCCATAGATCTTCTTGGATCTGACACTGTTATTTCTCAGATAGCATATTCTCAGTTCCCTAAAAGTGCTCAGAAAGGTGGCTGTGCTGTCATGATGGCCTTCTGGATCCTTGCGGGTCCCCTCAACTCTTGACTCTGTAAACTTCAGGGCGAAAAAGTTCTGAAGTCCGTGGAGGAGGAGACCACTGATTGTGTGATTTGAAATAGATCACTGAAAACCTTTAAAAGGATAAAAGGAAAGGATATGTTAGTTTATTTAAAATCCAATATCTAGTTTTTTACTGACCAAACTATGTAACTCAAAGTTCTGAGGAAGTGTATCTTACATTGCCATTTTGCCCTTTGATTGTATTAGGAAGTTGACTAAATTATGAAAAATGTTTCAAAAATCATAAATAAACGGAAGCTACTTTGGCTACTTTCAGATCTCACTAACTTCTTGGCACAAGGTCAGACTTGGAAAACTGACTGAGGTGAACAGACAAAGCTAACTAACTTCTGACACCTGCCCAGAGCCAGATTTTCTGCAAAATGGACCTGCTCATACACAGCATCCCAGATAAACACACATCTTTGAAGAGCTAACAAGTAAACATGCTTTTTACCAAAAACTGTGTATTTTTCACTTTAGTTTATAAAAGAGGTCAGTGATCACTGAAATCTAGCTGTACTTTGCCATAAAGTCACAAGTTAACAAGCGCGTGTGCATATGTTTTCTGGTTGGTGTGAATTATTGCGATTTGTTTTCTGCCCACTTGGTGTAAAGTGGAGAATTCAAACAATCATCTAGATAACCTGGGCCATCACTTTCCCCAGTAAATCCACTTTATACTGAAACTACAGATAGACTGAGAAAAAATGAAGAGTTTGGCAAGTAGCATTACTAATGGAACATTCAAGAACCCATGGTAGAATGAATGCAGATAGGATTTAGGAAGCCACTTGAATATTGGGTCTCTGAGAGTAGCTAATATTTAGGGACTGATCAGAAATCCAAGGTTGGTGGCTACTCCTAGATATTTGCAATCAGTGGCAAGGTGAATGCCTTAGACCTGGATTTCTAACTTCTTGTAAGAAGTAACATCCACTCTGTCATGGCCAGTCTGTGTCAAAGGCCACACCTCCGGCAGAACCCACCATTGTCTGTGAATAGGCCCTGGGACGGCCAGCATGCAGGGCAATTGTCAAACGGGAGGGGCACCCAGATGTCCTTTTCAGTGGGCAAGGGTCTCCTGCTGCTGCTCAGAGTGTGAGGAAGATTCCTGTGTGAAGAGAGGTTCCAATGACCTCTAGAATCAGATTAGTTGCCAAGCTTTCTGTCAGTGAGACGTAAAAGCCATTTACTTGTGTTTATTTTATATTTAATGAGTTGGTTCATGCCAAAGACAAAGCTGATGTCCCATTTATTTTGGATACTGAACATGTGCACGCAATTCCACTTGAAATATAGGATCAGGAATGTGGGCCATCACAGACCCTCAGAAAGATCTCCTTACATCAGCGGGCGATGGATCTGGGTCAGGCCGACATATTTACCCTGAGTGGCGTCTCCTTCTGCATGGCGACTTTATGCTGCAGTTGCGGTGGAGCGTCAACCCAGAGCTGGAGGTCTCGAAGAAGACGACGGGAAAGGCTGTGTGTGGGATGCCTGGAAGGCTCACTTTCCTGACTATTCTACAGAGAAAGGTAGAAACTTGCAACCAGGAGATCAAAGCAGCAACGTATACACATGATGGCAGAAAGAAATCAGGATGGGCCTGTGGAAATCAGACAGTTGTCTGACAATGAGAAATACTTTTCTCCTACCTTTACAGATGATAGGGCAGGGTGAGGAGATGAGCTTGTGGGAAGGCTGCCGATTTGGTAAAAGTGTGTGTGGAGGCCAGGTGACCTAGACCAGCCAAATGGGATTTTGGGAAACCATTTATGAGGGTGTCACCAACAGTGGGGCAGGCTGAAGCTCCAGGCAGGTGCCCCAGAGCTCCCAGAGTGTGACAAGTTAAAGCAATCTGTGATGGTGAACAGATACATTAGAGTCCTTCAAAAGTGACAGAGTGGCTCTCAGACCAGACCTTGATTGTAGGTCTAATCAAGGTGTCGGTACCACCCCATAACACTGCATTTCCAAAAGTTTTATTGGCTCATGGAATTCTGAAAGTTTTCCTGGAGGGTTGCTCCCAAAAAAGACTCCATGGATGGATAAGTTTGGGAAGTCCTGCATGTCTCACTCCTCTTCAACAAAGAAGGCTCTGGAGAACCTGCATAAAGACATCTGTGTTTAGCACCACCCTTCCCAAAGGTCTGTTTTTGACCATCTTTTGAGAAACTCTGGCTCTGATCTCTAGAGAGAGCACCAAGCAGGGGCAAGGAATCCCATTTAGCAGGAGTGGGGTGTTCCTGGGAAGACAAGAAGTTAAAAGTGCCCAGTGCTTCCTCTCTCCCTGGTTCCTCTGACTAGGACAAAAGGATGAGACTGGTGCAGAAGGGTGGGACTAGGGCTTGAAAGGTGAAAGGAGGCATAGAGAAGTGTCTTAGACCCCTCTTCTTTTGTGGGCTTTAGGAAGCATTCTTTTGCTTTGGGATCATTTTCCAAACCTACATTGATGGATGGATAGGGTGGGTCGGGGTGAAGGAGGGAAACCCAAGCTCTCCCAAGTCCTGGCCTTATACCAGTGCCCTGTGATGAAAGTGCTCCAGGATTGGCTCATACCTGTAATCCCAGCACTCTGGGAGGCCGAAGCAGGAGGATCACTTGAGCTCAGGAGTTCAAGACCAGCGTGAGCAAAAGCAAGACCTTGTCTCTATTAAAAATAGAAAAATTAGCTGGGTGTTGTGGTACACACTTCTAGTCCCAGCTACTCAGGAGGCTGAGGCAGGAGGATCATTTGAGCCCAAGAGTTCAAGGCTGCAGTGAGCTATGATGATGCCACTACACTCTACCCAGAGCAGTAAAGTGAGACCCTGTCTTGAATAAAAAAAAAAAGAAAGTGCTCCAGGATGCTGCACGCATCAGGGAGGGCCGCCCTCTTTCTGTCTGCTGGCTTTACCTTCCTAATGCAGCTCCTTCCGACTAGAATGCCTCCCACCCCATGACGCAGAATCACCCCAGCATTCCACTGCCCCAGCCATACCCATGCAGCACTTTATACCATGCTCTGAGATCAGCAAGAACAGACATCGTTGGCTTCTACCACTTTCATTGAAATGGATGAATGAGTTATGATAGCACCTACAGTTACCTAATTTCAAGCAAGGGGGAGATTCTGGCTTGGTGCCACAGATGTTCTTGGAATTGGGATAATAAAACTGTCCCTGAGGCATCCCCTTGTCTGCTCTGACTGTGCTTTCTTCAGGGGAAGAGGCCCGGGCCATAGCCCTGACTATACCCCTGCTTTCCCTAAAAACACAGCTTGTGGGGGACCAGTGGGGCCACCTGCTCCCAGGCTCTGTAGCCTAGCTCAGGGACAGGAGTGGCCTTCATCACATTATTAGTCTTCCTGGACAGGCTGTAGTTTGTGTTAAGTAACAAAAGGGTTTGAGAAGTGTCTTCCCATCCAACTTCTTCCAAGGCCATTTTTGATGGGTGGGTCAAGTTCACTCACATTTGGCTATTGACTGATCTAATGCATTTGCTCTTGCTTGGTGGTCCTCAGTCCTGTTCCCTTAGCTGCACAGAGGTAAACTCTTCCTGCTGCCTCCCTTGAGAAACCCACAGCCCCCAGTTGCTCCCCTTCATTCTCTTTTCTTGTGCCCTCTACCGATCCCTGACCTGTGTCTTCAGTAGTCTCCAGTCCTGGTGGAGCCTGCAAGGTCTAAGTCAAGTCTACCTTCTATCTCCCCTCCTTAGGATTGCTGGAGGTACTGTAAATAAAGTATTTTTGTCATAATTATTTCTGATGAACGTTTTTGCACCTAATAAAGGCTCAGAGAGATTGAGTTTACTTGGTCTAGGGGAGGGGCACCTTCCAGATGACTTGCCCAGCAATTAAAGCCGCTTGTTAGTCGGAGGCCCAGGACGGCCGAGGACAGCTGGAGAGCTCTTCTTTGCAGGCAGCTCTGGTTAACATCAACCGGGAAAGCTCTTTGTAAACACATGAATAATTGATCGTCCAGCGCTCACATAGCTACCGCGGATCTGAGCCCATATGACTCATTTGCGAGCCATTCCTGTCGTCTGGATGCCATAACATTGGAGGAATGATGACGGTTTCTTGGAGGTTCTTCTGTGGCCAGAGTTGCCAAGACCAAGGCTGTAATGGTTTGTTATGATGACCTTTGTTATTCCATTAGGCTCAATTGCTTTAAAAAATGATGTGTGCATACTTTAGGAACGTTTTTACCCTTTACGTTGACCTGACATCATAGTTTATATTACAAAATGTATTAATGACAGAGGAGTGTTTTCATGTCCCAAGGACAAATTTTAAC